TTTTTTTTTTTTTTTTTTTTTTTTTTTTTTTTTTTTTTTTTTTTTTTTTTTGTTTTTTTTTTTTTTAGTTTTTTTTTTTTTTTTTTTTTTTTTTTTTGGACGCCATTTTGTTTTCACAAAGTAAAGGCATTTTTTTTTTTTTTTAAATTCAACATTTTTTCCAACAATCTGCTAGCCGAATTACGCTTATGTTAGAACTTTTATGGAACAAAAGTGCTTAATCACGACGAAGGTTAGGTGCCGAATTGGGAGAAAGTGCAGAATTGCCCGCTGCTTGCCTCGTTTTTAAGAATTGCACATACACGGTATCCATGTACACATCGACCTATTTTCACTTAAAAAAAGATCCAAAAATTGCACAAAAATGGCATTGCGCACACTCTTGACTTTATCCATGTACACTGCTAAAGTCCTAGCTAGTAACCTTTATCGCCTTACCAAAATGCCGCCGAACTACCTGTTACCATATTCCAAAGATTAGCCACAACGGCTTCGACTTTTGTCCTTGCACAAGCAAATTTTTTGTCGTACAATGTTTTGATCATTTACGACGTACAATCAATTGATCTGAAACTTTGTAGTTTATGGTGTGGAAAGCAAATAGCCCTTCAGCTAATGCTAGATGTTCTTTTGTTAACAATACATATTCCTTGACGAGACGTAACGAAAATGATAGAACACTACCGATTAAATCTAACTCGTTACATTGCCTAATTTAGTTTACTCGGCATCTATTTTATGTGTTTTTTTCATTTCTGTATTTTTATTTCTTTATATTTAATATAATAATTAATAAATAATAGGTAATATATTTTTACAGTACATTTAAAATAAATGCAGATGTTTTCTAAAAAGCGGCGGGACGCGGTTCAGTCCCCCTAAAAAGCAGGATGTGTGGTCACTTTATACATATATATATATTACACATAATTTAACAAATATTATCTATTCGTATAAAGCTAATATAAATTAAAAATTTAATTAAGAAATTTTAATTGCAAAATAAAGTAAAATTAATTATTGCTGTGAACAAATTTACAATATCATTTAAATTCTAAGAGCATATATAAATTAAGCACACGTATCTAAAACCATGAAAAAATATATAATATTCCAAAAAAATTAATTTAAAAAAATCTTTTTTAAGGAATTTTTAAAACCAAATTACACTCTTGAAAAAAAAAAAAAAAAAAAAAAAAAAAAAGATGCACCACGACACACTGAGAAGATATAAAGCAAATTGGACACAAATTGATATGCATACAGGTTTTGACAGAAAATGCAAAATTTGACATTTTGGCTGCCAACGAAAGAATGGTTTTCGCTACAGCACATCTGACCTGCACAACTGGCAGGACATTTTTTTTTTCCAATGGCAGATTGTGAATAATTACAAATGTAACCCAGTCCATTAATCTATACAAGGCCAGATGTGGTGGTCTCTTTATTATGGCAGCATCTAATAGGTTGGCCACCATCGTCTGTCCTATGAAGGAACGGACAGATACAACCATGCCTTCTCTGGGATTCGAAACCAGGCCCTTCAGCATTGCAGTCAGTTTCCCTGACTACTATACTGGCTGGGCGGCAACTGGCAGGATATTTAAGAGGAGAAATTATGATTCCAAGGCATAAATTCTTCACGAATTTCATTCCGTGTACTCTGGTAGACAGTAACTATGCCTCGCATATAGGTGCGCGAACAATATGGGAAGATGTCAGAATTTGAGAGAGGTCATTATTTGAGAGAGGTCGTATAGTTGGGATCAAAGAAGCTGGTTGGTCTTATCGGCGAATAGCTCGACATTTGAGCAGGAGTGATGCCACTATTATACAATGTTGGCAGGAATTGGGTGAACCATGGCCACACACAGCGTCAAGAAAGAAGCGGTAGGCCTAGAGAAATGACAGAACGTGAAGACCGAGCAATCGTCAGAGCGGCACTCACATTCCCAGATGCATCATTATCATCGATTGTACGTGCGACTAGTACTTGAGTGACTGCAAGGACTATTCATAGATGGCTCACAGAAAGGGGGCTGATATCATGGTGTCCCTTGCGCCGACTACAGTTGACCTCTGGACAACATCAAGCCTGTTTGCAGTGGTGTTGGGCTCATTCGCACTGAAATATCACTGACTGGAGTAGAATAGTCTTCAGTGATGAGTCCTGCTATGAACTGAGCCCCGATGACCAGTGAAGGTGAGTCTGGAGACGCGCCGGACAGCGGTGTGATATCAACCTGTCTTCCGGCAGACAGGCCGACAACCAGAAGTGATGCTCTGGAGTGCCATTTTATTTCATAATAAGACTCACGAATTTTTTGATTGTCATCCGTCTCAACCTTACAACACAGCGGTACATCCAAAGAAGCGCTAAGGCCCGTTGTGTTGCCCTTCATGACACGCTACCCTGGGCTTACATTTCAGCAAGATAATGCCCACCCCCACATTAAACATGTTTCTACTGCTTGCCGAACATTACCTTGGCCAGCAAGGTCATTGGATCTCTCTCCTATTGAGCACGTTTGGAGCACTATGGACAGTGCCCTCCAATCAGTTTGGGATGTTGACGAGCTAACACGCCAGTTGGACAGAATTTGACACGATATCCCTCAGGAGGACATTCACAACCTCTATCAATCAATGTCAAGCCAAATAACTGCTTGCATAAGGGCCAGAGGTGGACAAATGCATTACTGACGTTTTCACTTTGTAAAGCTCTATCACTTCAACAAATCATCAACTTTTTCTCAAACTGTAATCATTTGTTTTTCTGTACATGTACATCACTTCTACCGATTTTCGTCCCATTTGGATAACTCCTTGATGCAGCTTTTTTTTTTTTTTTTTTTTTTTTTTTTTTTTTTTTTTTTTTTTTTTTGTCTAAGAGTGTAAATTGCACAAGTGAATAATTGTTGAGCAGGCAGGAGAAAGACTTTTCAAGGGGAAGTTGCCTCCAAACCTAATTCTTCAATTACTCAATTCGTGTTTCGTCATTCATATAGGCAAAGGTAAAAGTAAAATTCAAAACCAAAAGTAAAACCAAACGTTCTGAATTACTAAAAAATAAATTTAAATTAGTAAGAATTTTGAGAAATTTAGGAAGTAAAATGACTAGGAATTAAAATATCAATTAAATGTCAATTAAGAGTAGAAAACCAAAGTAATTCAGAAACTCTCGCCTATTGAAAACTTACCCTATATGAATTATGCATGTAAACTTAAAATAAACTATATACAATCTATCAAAATATAAAAATAAAAAGGCTACTAAATAGCAAGTTTTAATTTAACTTCACTAGAACTACATATTTGAATTCCTGAGTGTGGACTAGCAGTATGTTACATATAATATAATATATATATATAAATTGAATAAAATACTATTAATTCAATATCAAATTACAGAATCTGAGAACTTCTAACAGTATGTGCATATTTATTATATATAAATGCCTATTAATTATTTGAATAAATTAATTTACCTTTATGAGAAACTTTTTAAAGGTTACTAAATCTAACTCAGAAACTGACACATTATGTTTTCCATTCTATGATTTTATCTTAAAGATTAGATTTACTAAATCTAACTCAAAAGCTGACACGTTATGTTTTCCATTCTATGATTTTATCTATCTGGATGCAGCATATTTATGATGAAAATAACAGAATGCAGTACATTAAATTTTCTTTACATTAAATGTAATAATAAACTTATATAGGTATAAAAGAATTTTATTTTTAAGCTATATTACTTTTATGTATTTAAAATATTGGTAGCTAATCATACATATATTATCATTCTACATTAACCAGATTCCCGTTTAAAATCGAGAAAAAGATTGATATAAATCCATTGTACGAAAGATATTTATTAGATCCATTACCAACCTTTGTGGGTGGACTTTCTTCAGTTTTTATGGGAGACTCAAATAGAGGTTTTTCAGGCACAGGATTTTCAGTGATATGAGAGTTCAGTGGAACATAATCTCCGGTGGGTAACTGATGAAGAGAACGTTTTGCAACTTCTTTTTCTAGAACAGCACGCAGTGTAGCAAGATTTAGATTAGACTGCGAATCTCTTTTCAGTAAATATTGTTCAATATCTTGTATCGAAGCGCTTCGAAGATGTGGATGATCTTTCGTCGGAAGAGTTAAGGTTTTAACTGCTTCAAGTACTATAGAAGATATATCTGAAGAATTGTAGAAACTTCCATAAAATTGAGTCTTAGTTTTAACCCACTTTGCAGCATTACGATAACTTGTATTCCCTTTATAGTCAACTTTTATCACAATACCTTCACTGACAAGTCGCGATAATTCTTCATTTACAGCAGCACCTTTCAAGCCATGCCTTCGCTCCAACATATGAGAAATTCTGTCAAAATCTGGTCTTGCTTTCCTTTTGCGAAGTTGATCAATTGCATCTAATATTAATCCTCCACATTTAGTATCATTCATATTGAAGTAATTCTTTCAAGGTTTCGATAAAACAGAATTAATTTAATGAAAACTACTTTAAATATGAAACAAGCATGAGTTCAGTTGAAATGCATAAATATGAAAATTGTCACAAAAAAGTAATACAATATCGGATATCGAACAGCGGAATTGACAGCTCTCACAACAAAGCAGACAACAATGAGAACCGAAGTGCCTACACGTCCTACTTCAAACAATTACCTCATAGAATTACTGTCTGAAATCACAACCAGATCCTTCTGCTAATTGCCGCCTAGTAAAGTTCACTGAAAAGACCAAGGAAAACGCCACCGGGAAAGTTAGCTTTCCTCCTAACTGTCCGACGTCCGACGGGTAGACACAGCCATCTGCTGCCAAATGTTTGAAATGACTTTTTCCCTCCAAGTTAATAAAATTCCCGATGATGGCGACGATTTGCAAGCCTTGATGGCGACGAAGGCCGCATATTCTCTACTTTTCTGCTAGGCTTTGCTCATATTGGTCAAACAGGAAACGTAGGGTTACAGAACCTTGCACTAGGCGACTTTTGCTGTTTTGACCGCAGTATACAAAAAAGGCTCAATATCAAAAAAGCACAATCTGAAATAAATGTAATGAGATGCATGCCGCAAGAGAAGAGGAGAAATGCAGTCACGTGTTTAAGAACAACAACATCCGCATGTGCTATGTTCTGGGACTTGTATATATTATTTTCCATTTTTACTGTATGATACTGTGTCAAATCTACGATAAAGTGTAAAAGATATGCCAAAATTATTAGTTGCTATTATTGCTTATCCAACGAAGATCTGTGGCCGATATATGGCGTCACCTCTGATCACTACTGAAGACTTTGCACTTTCATTACAAGTGCACAGGACTTTTCCATTTTATGGAATTTTACGAACTTCCTTAGGTCCTTAGGTAAACATGTAGTGGTAAAGGCCTTCGGCTCGAACATCACTTAACGAATGATGATCTCCGATGTTTACGTAGGTTGGGGCAAAAGTCATGGCAACTATTTTTTTTCTCGAAGATACCAGTCAGGTAGTAAAATGTGACATATACAGACGAAAGGACAAGGTCTTAACTATATGTGTGGACAATGAATAGCATGGAAATATCGTAACAAAGAATTTATTACGGTAGTATACAGGGCAATATGGCCTTCACCGAGCAAAAGAATGATAACACAGTACACATAAAGCTGAAATGACAAACCTGGGCCTAAAGACCCTCATGTAGTACCCTGCTACTGTTACTACACGCTGCCAACGATGTGGGAGGCTCTGAATACCATCAGCCTCAGCATTTTCCGCACCATGTGTGAAGCAGGTTATCTGTAGGCGCACAGCATTAGCAATGTCCTCTCGTCTTGCAAACCGCCTACCACGTATTGGTTCCTTAATATTGAGAATGAGATCAAAGTCACAGGTCGAAAGGTCAGGAGAGTACGGTGGGCGCTCCAATTCTTCCCATCTCCAACGTCGGAGTAGCTGCCGTACACACTCTGCTTTATGTGGTCTTGCATTGTCGTGCAGAATTATTGCACTGTCCACAAGATCCGGACATTTACCCCGAACGCCACGTCGTACCTGTAGTAGTGTGCGGTCACTGTTCTGCCGTGAGGAACAAAGTGGCAAACAATGACACCCCTGACGTCATACGCGACGATCACTATCAATTTGACTGGGGAAGGATTCTGACGGACCTTCTGCTGCCTTAGTGATCCAGGATGTCACCACTCCGCGGACTGACGTTTCAGTTCTTGGCGATTATTCGTGACAAGAATTGATCGCCGTCCTGTTGCCAGCGTGCAAAGTGGTCGGAGCATATTGCATAGCGCACCCACCTTTGAACTTCCGTCAGTGCATGCGGTACCCACCGCGAAGCGATTTTGCGAGGTGCAGCTCATTACGCAATATCTTGCGGATGGTGCGTTTCTCGATGATACTTGCCCTTTCTAACTCTAGTAACGTCAATCGTCTGTCTTCATCCATGAGGTGCTCGATGACGACACGTGCCAATTCCGCACACTCACCGGTCATCCCGAACGTTGCTCATCACTGGTTGACACACTTCCTTGTTGAAACTTTCCTACCCACCGTGCTACTGTACGATATGGTAGGGCATTATTCCCAAGGGCTTCTACTAATTCACTGTGACATTCCGGGCCCTAGTCTGGACACCGTCGAGATAGAAGAACGGGTCGTTTTTTGCGGTCTACTCGACAGAGAGCGAGTCTGGTGTCATCGTCTCGGTCATTACAGAGATCAACGCGTCGGAAATTTTTCCGTCAGCTGGACAGCTGCCGTTTAAGTTTCTGACTGTCGTTTTAGAGCTAAACTGAGGACGGCGGAGGTCACGGATTGTTTTTGAAAGTGTACGTAATTGATATTTTAATTTCTTAAGATTTGTGAAAAATTCGAGTATTTCGCTATAGAAATAACGCATTTGATGCTGACAGTTCTACATTATTTATTGATTCTACATTACCAAAGCATTAATTAAATTTTAGTGAAAATAATATATTTGGTGTTTTCCTATTTAACATATAAAGAAGGAGTGCATACTTTTAATGTAAAATTGTAATTTTTAAACTAATGTATATATCAATGTACTTAATTTCATGTTTTGATGAGTAATTTATAAATTTTAAAATTTTATGTTTTAAATTAAAATGTATTTCCCTCTACTTTTATTTGAATTTGTAGTATATAAAAATGTAATACATTAGACATGCATTAAAGACTATGCAGTATATAATTCAAACTATGCACATCTTAAATTCAACATTTACATTAAATTGATTTGAGTTAAAAAAATTATATAAGTAGTTTGAAATGTACCGATATCAATGTCAATTTCCAATAGTTTCTAGAATCTCCTGTATAAAACAAGTTAAATTCCTGTATAATTTTCGGTTAAATTCTTGTCAAATTCTTGTAAATATTTTAATGCATGATTTATAATTAGTTATCAGATTTTTTAATGTGGTCTACTTTTAGATATTACATCAGTTTTGTGTATATTTATTCAAATCTAAAAAGTGCTTAGTTTTGGTTTTATGTAATTACGGCAAAGCCTCGAGGGCTATCTGCCTAAAGTGAGGGTTGCCTTTCGTGGAGGACATTCTAAGGAAAACTAGCTCGTATATACACGTAACACATGGGGAAAACCACGAAAACGTCCATGCAACCAGCCCGTTCGCGGGATTCCCAACTTGGACCGAACTTCTAGTGTTCAGCGATTTTACGGGCCGCTGGTGGGATCGATTTAAAAAAGGTATAAATAGGATATATGTACTGCAATTTCTTTCACTGCATTGTTAATATATTTATAATACAGTTATATATATATATATTTAAAACAGATTTTCTGTGCCTTAAACTTCTATGCTTCTGGAAGTTACCAATGATATATCTGTCATTACCAATGATATATTGGTAATGACAGATACATTGGAAATGACGCCCACGCGTCCACGCCCGTTTGCGGGATTCAAACCTCGGACCGCACTACCAGTGTTCGGAGATTTTACCGCTCGGCCACTAGTGGGATCGACTTAAAAAGGGCATAAATAGGAATATGTACTGCAATTTCCTTTCACTGCATATAGTAATATATTTATAATACATTTATATATACATACAGTTATTTATTTAAAACAGGTTTTGTATGCCTTAATTTTTTATGCTTTTGGAAATTACGAGAAATATGTTAGTAATGACAGATATATTGGTTATCAGAGATATGTTGGTAATGCAACAAACTCATTCGCAGTATTTGGACCTCGGACCGAACTACCAGTGTTCAGCGATTTTACCACCCGGTCACTGGTGGGATCGATTTAAAAAGGGTATAAATAGGAATATGTATTGTAATTTCCTTTCACTGCATATGTTAATATATATATATATATGTGTGTGTGTGTGTGTGTGTGTATGCAAGATAATATGTTTTATGATTTAACCTATAGTTATTTAATTTTTTTTTTATTTTTCTTCCTATTACTTTTGTTAAAAGTTTGTTATATTTTTTCTCACTGCTTATTGGTATCTACGATACACAGTATATTTGTAGCTACGTGATAGGTATAATTCATGAATAAATAAAATTATTCATATAATCATGGGTTGCTAAAAATTAAAATTTTTTTAAATTAGGAATATTAAACACGCGTACGCGGTGCTATATTTCAATGATTTGACTTATGACGTTGTTGCATAACCTTTTCAGACAAAATAATGTATTTTAATCATAAAATTCCTGTTAACAAATAGTTTACAAACATGTAACCTTTTAGAAAATTTCCATTTTGCAAAAGATCATACGTAAAATTATGTTTACGTTTCTTCACATACCTGAAGTTTTTGAAAAGGCCATTTCTTTCTGCGTTTAAAATATCCATTAAGGTTCCCCATTTCTTTTTTCCATACTCTTTACTAAATCCAGCAGCGTATTTTTTCGAGAAATTTCACCATTTACTCGAACTCGATTTTTTTTTCTACCGCCATCCTCAGTGATAAGCACGTGCGAAACAGCCCCTTTGACACCAAACTACCCCCTTCCCCTGTGCCTGGAGCAATGTAGAGGTGAGATAGACTGGTTGCTATGCAATAAACTTCACTTCCGCACGGAATTTCCACTTCACTTCCGCCGACGGAATTTGAAGGGGCCAGATTCGCTCTCCTTTTGCTGTCGAGTGGAAAGAGAATCCCGACTGGTTTTCCGATATCGGTTAGGTTAGGTTATTAATTACGGCAAAGCCTCGAGGGCTATCTGCCTAAAGGGAGGGGTGCCTTCGTGGAGGACTTTCTAAGGGAAACTGGCTCGTATACACGTTACACATGGGGAAAACCACGAAAACGTCCATGCAGCCAGCCCGTTCGCGGGATTCGAACCTCAGACCGAACTACCAGTGTTCAGCGACTTTACCACTCGGCCGCTGGTGGGCTTTTCCGATATCGATCTCGACCGGTGTCCAGACTAGACCCCTCCATCGCATTTCGCCCTCGGAGAACGGCTATTTTGATGTAAGCGCGGTGCTCAACACGGGTTACTTCCATCTCGCACGACACTCATCAACTGACTGATTTCAGAGCCCTTGCTACCACACAGCCAGCTATCACAGAGCCATCCGTTGTTTTGCATACACACTATGCATGCAGAACTTTCCCACGACATATATACGTTTTGTTATCCGTTCATATATCTATAAGAAAAAATAGTTGCCATGACTTTTGCCCCAACCCCCGTATATAAAAAGAAGAAACACATTTCCTTTTATTAAAGTGCATATAAAAAAGTGCTGATTTTTATGTTCACAATGTTTTCCTGAACGGTTGAAATAGTTTAAATGATTGATTTAGGGGGTGGATAAAATCTTGTTTATATTTTTTGTACTTCTTAGAATACATTTAGTTTCAAAGATATGTTTTGCACAATCAAGACTTTAATTAATTCCTCTTTGATTGGTGTATTTAATTATGGCAAAGCACACTAGGGCTATCTGCCTAAGGGGAGGGATGCCTTC